TCAATTGTGTGTGCTCTAGTATGTCCTCTCAGTGGTGACAGTATTTTTGCTAAGTATTATGCCAGCTTATAAGTCGGTGAATCGATCTGGCTCACTATAGAACGTAGTGGAGCGTTTGGTTTGTGTATCTTCGGTAACCCATACAACCTCGGTGGTTTGGTACATGATGGTATTAGCGAATTCACGTCTAGATTTAATTTTTCGGAGTATTTCTTCATAAAATCGCTAGTTACTTTAAGCGTATTAGTTGTGGGGTCTGTTTTGACCTTTTTGTATGTACTTTCGTCCGATAAAAGTTGTTGTATTTTAAAATTATACTCTGACGTGTCCATTATTACCGTAGCATTTCCTTTATCTGCGCGGAGAATCGTGAGCACTGGTCTGTTCCGTAAGTTAATCAACGATGTAAATTCGTCTTTAGGAAGGCTTGGTTGGCACTGGACTGGCATTGGACGTAACAAGGATGATATATCTTGACATATAGTCTCCAAACCTACCTTACCGATATTATTCTTAAACAGACAATCCTCAACACTGCAGATAATTTCTTCGTACGGGATTTTTCGCGATGTCAATGCGAAGTTCATTCCCATCGTTAATACATTTATTGTCGGTTTGTCCAGTGTATGTTTTGACAGATTAAAGACCGTGCGTTGTTTATTGTTTGCGTCTGTGGTCAAAGGTTGTGTTTCGTTCTGACGTTGACTTAGATGTTTGGCATTTGATTTGATCGTTAATTTTTGGTATTTTTCCATTTGTTTATTTTGCTGCTTGTTCTTTGTGTTGTGCTTGTTGTTTATCTTACTGCTCCTGTAAATCCAAGATTCTACAAGCGATACGTAGACGACAATTTCACAATTTTACCATCTGACAATATAACTGCATTTTTAGACCACCTTAACTCTATAAACTAGTTAGAGGCACATAATTCTTTAGCTTTTCTGGATGTTTTAGTCATCCGAAATCCTGATAACACTATCACACTGTCACACTGTGTATAGGAAAAAGACCCATACCAACCGATATTTAAATGGTGAATCTCACCATCATCCTACACAGTTAGCTACCGTGGGTTAATTTTTTTCAGAGAGCACGAGGGATCTGTGACAGAAAACATCTGGCCGCCGAGCTTCAGCACGTCAAGCAAGTTGTGCACGACAACAAGCTTCGGGTCCCGCACCTACGTCACAGTGAACGAGTGAAGCCGGCCACAGTCGAGCGTGTGCCTGCTGTACTGCCATATGTCAGAAGAGTCACAGACAAGGTTGGCTACATCTTGAAACGAGCTTCCATTAAAACATACTACAGGCCGCCAAAGAAGATTAGTCAATTTTTACCACCCGTCAAGTGTAATATCCCTCTACAAGATGTAGGAGTGTACAAGTTAGATTGAGAATGTGTTCTCTCTTACATAGGGCAAACAAAAAGATCCATAAAACCCGCGTGAAGGAACATATAGCTGACGTGAAGCACCGACGCTCGGGGAAGTCTGTAGTCTGTGAACATGTTCAAAATCGTCTCCACCATTACATCAGATTTGATAAACCACATATCCTCGCAAAAGAACACCGATTCCTAACAAGGATGATACGCGAGGCTATTCAAATTAAAAAACATCCTAATTTCAATAGAGAAGATAGATGGGTGCTGTCATCTGCTTGGGATCCTATAATTAACAAAATTGATCCCAAACCCAAGCATAGACACTGCAAGACTTCAAGATACTGTAAGCTCGTTCTGCGTAGATCGGACCGAAAATTAATATTAAAAAAATGAAGGTAGCCGGGCTAACTATGATTTTGGGACGTCAAACATCTCAGTCCCCCCCCCCCTCGTGACTACGGGTGCTGTAAAGTACCCTAAACGTTAGGAATTTAAAAATAAGAAAGTAGTTAATTAAACGCGATAAAATCCTTAAATATAGTTTTATTCAATGTGTAGTGTTCGCGTAAATGTAAGAAATCATTATTAAGAGACCAAGATTTTTATATACAGTAAAACTTGGTTAAGTGAGACCTGGATAAGTAAGAAACCTCCGTAGCTGAAAAAAAATTTATACGTGGTAGAGCCATGCCGCAGTTATATTAGTAGTATAGTTGTAGCACGAATGGGTCGGCTCGACCGAGGAGGGACCACGCTCTCACAGAATACCAGCGTGAAATAGTAGCTTAATGCTGCTGTATTTCGTATGGTGAGTGTAGAGAACCGGAGACCCTTTTTACTGGAAACGAGGCATTCCATCTCAGTCCTCACGGGTGACAACGCATCTGCATTTTGATTTGTAAACGAGGATAGATGTATAGATGTCCAAGGGCCACAGCAACCACTTACCGTCAGGTGGACTGTGTGCTCGTTTGTCACCCTATTCTATAAAAAAACTCATGCTTAGGGTCCCGACACTTTAGCACTGAATTACCCCTGTGAGTGGGATAAAAGAAACCTCTTTATCTGGGATTAGTTCTTTCAATTTTGTCGTCATAATTACCTCTATAATTGAGACAGCGAGTGTATTTAACCTTTTACTGAGCCAATATTTTGTGTACCATTTTGTTTACTAATTCTTATTGTACGCGCTAATTCTGCAGTTGGCTTATTGTGTAAAAGTGACCTCTAGTTTTAGTTTGGTTTTGCTATCGTCCGGATGTTTATTTGCATATGCGGAAACGAAGGCTTAATTCTTTATTAGTACGTGAAAAACTAAAGTTAATATCCGTTTGTAGAAGTGGATAGACGCGCGATGAAGTATGTGTCGAATTTAATGTGCTAAGATGTACTCTTTGTTGAATCATACAGAACGAAGATAAAATTCAGTTTCAATGTCCTGAAGGATAAATTATGACATCCCATACAGATCACAACAACCAACCATCTTATCACCGCACCCCAGTAACCATAGGTGTTGTAAAATCCCCGAAACGTCAGGAATTAAAGTGTTAAAATTGAAACCCGTAAAAGTACTTTTATGTCATGTGTAGTATGCGCGTACATACAAGAAATCATTACACACTACACAGAATAACACTTTTTGCTCCGTCCTCTTAAGGGTCGAAATGATGATAACAAAGTTGCTAACCGACTATAACAATTTATAATTTATGCATTAATTATCATAATTTCTAACTCTCGTAAAGCGCGCAGTTGCGTTAAACATAAAGCTAAGCATATCATATCGTGAATTGTGGATTACACGTCAAATACTCACTAGTATGAATTAATAGCGTTATGTTCATACATAGTTACAGCCTAAATACGTCTCACTGCTGGGCACAGGCCTCCCCTCATTTCTGAGAGAGTTTTAGGTCAAGGAAGTGTCCGCCACGCTGCCCCAAAGCGTGTTGGCGAACTTCACATGTCTTTGAAATATTTTTTTCTTATTCCTCAGACATGCAGGTAAATCAGCACTTAAAATTGCAATTAACAATTTCATTGGTGCCAGCGGGGATCGAACCCGGGTTACTCGCGTTCTGTTATATTTACAGCGAGCGTTAACCATCTGAGCTACCACGGCTCTACATTTACAACTTCACTCATATGTAACTAGTATTTATTCTCATAAAATTTAAATAAATATCGCTACTGAAATCCATAGACACCGTCAACTAACATATAACAAAACTACAGATGCATTGTCACTTCTGAGGAATAACATAGAAAACCTCACAGCATATAATTATACAAGATCTATACCCTTCAAACGGGAAACAGTAACACAAGCATTACTATTAATGTGTTCTGTACGTGGTAGAGCGACGCTGCAACTATATTATGACAAGGCGCGGATTGAGAACTCATAAGGTCGTGGGTTCGAATCCGCCATTTGACCTAATGTCGTGAACCACTCCTAACACAAGCGTTTCAAGCTTACAAGGAATGGTTAAAAGGAATATTAGTAATGCTAATTAATAAGATTACTAATATTTTTTAAATTAAAAAAAAAGTTGTGGCTCGCATGGGTCGGCTCAACCTGGGTGGAACCACGCTCTCACTGAATACCAGCGTGAAATAGCAGCTTAATGCTACTGTGTTTTGTATTGTGAGTGTAGAGATCCGGAGACCCTTTTTACTGGAAACGAGGCATTCCACCTTAGTTCTCATAGTTGACAATGCATCAGTATCTTGATTCTTAATCGAGAATGAATATAGCTGTCACCGCCATCAGGTAGAATGTGTGCTCGTTTGTTACCCTATTATATAAAAATTTAGCAAAAAAATTTGTAAAATATTGGTGCGTATCCAAATAGACTCCTAAGCAGGAAAAAGTTCTAACACTTAGTAATAAAACTCACAAGCGACCCACTTATTACTCCCGGTACTAAGTGGATACCGACATTTTAAAAAGCACCTACATCTATGCCCAACGGTTGACGACTAAGAACTTAAACTTAAAGTCCACACAAATCCACGACTGAATATAAACCTCCCCCACTGATTACCTCATGAGAATTGATACAATAGATATTACAGAATATCAGCGTAAAATAGCAGCTTAATGCTGCTGTGTTTCGTATGGTGAGTGTACAGAATCGGAGACACTTTTTATTGTATACGAGGCATTTCATCGTAGTCCTAAGGGGTGACAACTCGTCTGCATTTTGATTCTTAATCGAGGATAGATTTACATGTGTATGGGCCATGGCAAATATAATTAATGAATGCAGTAAAATATATAAAACTAGCTTGCCAGGCAGACGTTGTTCTGCCCTTTTTGACGACCCTTTATCATGTCCTATTAAAAATCCTAAAATTTGCAAAAAAAATATTATGTGTCACTTATGGGCAAAAAGAACTATCCTATCTCTCAAGTTGGACTAAACTGCACACGGTGTGCAAATTTGATTAAAATCTGTTAAGTAGTTTAGGAGTTCATCGCGGACAAACAACGTGACACGTAATTTATATATATATATATATATATATATATATATATATATATATATATATATATATATATATATTAAGATAATAGTAGCAAACAATAACAAAGAGAACAGTAATGTAACCTGGTGGCCTAAAAGAGTATCAGGCAGCAGCGAGTGTCGCGGAAACCCCACCGCGTAGTAAGGCGCGCCGGGCACCGGGTGTCTCGGGCCCTGACGGCCCGACTGGAAACTGTATAAAAAATCGTAACATAATCACTACATACATTTTATATGTTTTAATTTCCAAATGTATATTTAACCCCTCAAGCGCCATAAAAATCCCGTGCAGTGCTCGCAAGCGACCGCACCCACCCACAGCACTTAAATCCATTAAAACTTATATTTAGAGACAACTTTTCTAGGAAGAAGTTTAGCATTATAAAATCTATACAAAATTCTCTATCTTGTAGTCTAAATAAAAGTCAGGTATTACTTCCTTACAAAAAGATTTTATTGTATTTTGATAACAAAAAGAAAATATACCAAGCGAATGTCGGCAGCGTGAAAATCACAATTATTTGAATATATATTATTCGAAATAGATCAATTATATTCACACAAAAACTTTCATTACAATTTTATAATAAAAAACTATACTAAAATACTAATAAAACAATAGAAAAATCTGTAAATGGCGTGCTATTTCGCCATTTTCGTAGATTTATTAATTAATATAAATATTCATAAGATAACAATTTTTCTTTATTGCACTAGAAGATAGAGTATTTCATATTGATTACATAATGCCAAACTTCTTCATAGAAAAGTAGTATCTATATATAAGTTTTTATGGGTTAAAGTGCTGTGAAAGTGAGACGGAATATGGCCGCGGTCTTATGAGACCGCTTGGGGGTTGAGGGGTTAAATAATCTTGCAATATAAATATAAATGGAACTGTCTGCTTGCGTGTGTGCGCGTGCGTGCGTGCGTGTGTGCTCACTTGTACGTGACGAGTATCCCGCCGGAAGGCTGGCTGCGCCAGGCCATGCTGCCGCACGGCTGCTCGCCGCCCGCGCAGCTTCCGCACGCCCCCACCTCCCTGCAGCCCCCTCCCTCGCCGCACACGCCACATTCAGTGTATGACGCCTCCTGTACCAACATTAAACAAAAATAAATAAAATAAGCAAGAAAATAAGAAACATTAATTGGGTGCAGGCCACACACATAAAAATGCACTTACATATGTTTGTAAACACAAAATTAATAAAGGTATAATAAAATTAAAAAAACAACAGATATAACATTCAACAAAGGTAAGTATACATACTTACCTTTGTTGAATGTTATATCTTAAATCACAATTAAAATACATTCTTCATGTGTGTAATGACGCGTTAGGCAAACGGACCTCACTGAGCTTATACTGTCGCCTAAGCAAGCTGGTTTTCAGTGGACCCAAAAGTGCATTTCATCATCAATACAACTCATCACAGGTCCACTTCTGAATATAAAGTGGCCCATAGACATCTATATTTATCCTCGATTAAGAATCAAAATGCAGATGCATTGTCACCCTTGAGGACTAAGATGGAACGCCTCGTTTCCAGTAAAAAAGGGTCTCTGGTTCTCTACACTCACCATACGAAACACAGCAGTATTAAGCTGCCATTTTAAGTTGGTATTCTGTGAGAGCGTGGTCTCACCCCGATAGAACTGACTCGTTCGTGCTAATACCATAATATAGATGCAGAGTGGTTCTACCAAAATAACTGCCTCGTCTCTAATCTAGTGGTTGTAAACGCGACTGCTGATCATGAGGTCGCGGGTACGAATCCCGGGTCGAACCAAAAAATAACAGTTATTGAATTTTTCCGTCAAGTAATTCTCAGTAGCTGCCCAGCGTCAGGAAGTTGGTGGTGTCTCACTCTCGGATAGCACGTAAAGCCGTCGGTCTCACGCCTAATATCTCTCCCGCCGTGTAGGTTTATCGTCCCATCGGACTATGAGAGTGAGGAAATAGAGAGTTCACCTGTGCCTGCGCATACACTTTGCGCACTATTATACTGTTCTGCGCAGATGGCTAAACCCCTTTGAGGCTAGCCGTCGAAACTGAAATTTAGTCTGTAGGATAAATAGTATTATGACGCTACAAATAGGAGAAAGAGCATTCCCTCACAGAGTAGTGTTGTCAAAACAACACTACTCTATGAGAGTATGTTCTTTCCCCTATCAAGCTAAACCAGTCATGGTGCAGCCACAAATCAGTTACAGTGTGACCCTACCTCTATATTAATAAGTTAAATTATTTCATAATGATCATCCATAAGCAATTGGCAAATGCTACCCAAGTGCAGTAAACAAAACCCTTTCTTACAGGGAAGTCCAATGGTCAGTAGTGAACTTTTATGGCCAAATTTTATGGATGAATGGAAAATCATAGATACAAAAAAAAAACAACTTAAATAAATAAATACCTCGATATCCTGATGCAGACAGTGATCCCACCGCGACACCTCTTCACAATCATCTTCATCTGATGATTCCAGATCTTCATAGAAATACATCACATTAATAGCATTTTATTATTTATTAATATATTTTTTCATTGTAAAACAAAAATTGGGTATATTGTAGTAATTTATTAACACTAGTATCTGCTATTCCAGTAGACTTACCATCATCAAAGTCATCTGAAATTGTAAGGTCATCAAGCAGCGGAGGCTGAGCTGGTTCAAACACGTCATCACTACCCGTGCTGCAGTTCAACAACTCTCCCACTGCTGTTTGCTGGTGATAAAAATATTATTTGTTTTTATCAGACTTTTATGTATACTATACTACTGGGTCTCTGGGCTTCTAATACATGCCGCACCAAGTTACGGTCAATATTCTGAACTCACAACACATGCACTTTAAAAAGCCCTTTAAAAAACGGCATAATTCAAACGGTTTCAATGTCTAACACCTTGATAGCCTAGATAAAATCCTTGCATCGGACGTATAACGTTTATTTATTTATTAAAAATAACAGTACCTACAAACGATTGAAGAAATTGACTTGTTCCACAAGCCTTTTGCATTTTACTAAATGTACTTATCTAAACCGCAGCAGGTCAGTTAGATACTGTACTGATTATTAGTAATATAATGAAATAATAAATGACCATCGAATTGATGACATCGATGCATAGCGCAAACCGGCGATAGATACATGATTGATATCTGTATCTTGCCATGCCAACACATTACGCGCAAAGCAAACCTTGATATTGCGTATTTAGTCCGAGTTTGGTGGGAAAATATGCACAGCAAAAGTATTTTAATGTAGTAGCAGCTTACAGATATTTTCAATTTTGCTACCAAAATGATCGATCGAAATATAAACTATGGAGGTTAGTGAAAATTTGAGACATTTGGCGTCCCTATCATATACAGATACATCGGGACGTACCCTTAAAAATCAGGACGCTCCGCACAAAATTGGGACACTTGGCAATACTAGCTTACGCCATCGGTGTGAATTAACACGCAAGCAGGCGGTGGCGGGAAAAAGTGATACGTCCTATCGTTGGAAAGACCCTGAGTGTCCTGAATCGGACGGCGTCTACGCGTTATGATTTATAGTATTTTAAAAATAATCATAGAAAATAATTGACTACATAAAATGAGCTAAACATTTTTTGGGATATTTAACATTACTTGTATTTTGATAAAAAATTAAAATAGATAAGTTTATATTCCAATACACGGAAAAAAAATGACATTGAAGTGGACAGTTTTGGTGATTTTATAGTATTGTTTTATTAATATTAAAACTAAATATTTCCGTAATTTAAGCTTTGCTATACACTAAAAGACTATATATTCTATTATAATAACGCTTAAAAAAGTAATTATAGCTTATAATTAAAGTATTTTAGCTTATAATAATGGTCGTATTCGACCTGAATGATAACTATGTAGCATATTTTCGTAAAACGTTAAGAAGGGCTTGTCTTCGCTCTAAAAAACCGTCATTAAAACTATGATTTTGCATTGCAGTGTACTAAATAAAGACCACATCCTTCTAAAGTCTGTTAATTTTCTGCAAATAATCTGCTCACATCGTTACGATATCGCCTTTGAAAAAACCCTAAAACATGAATTTTTCGACGCAAATCGCATATGTCTTCTTAAGAACGTTTCTGTGTATATGGCTATGGTGTTCGCTTTGCCAAATTGTGAATTGTAGCCTTAACAACACTGATCAACTCTTCTGTATTGAACGTCATTATGAAAATATGCTATCGTTAGTAGATCTTATCTGAAGTCGCGACTCAATCGCGCGCTCCCTCCGATAGTCTGACATGAACACACATAAACATTTTGCAGATATGTTTAGAGAGCATTTTACAGTGACACCACTGTCTGGGCCATCACAGGCCATCGGAGATGAGGGTATGTGTGCCCAGGAGATTGGAATCCGGTTTACAGCGAAGGATGTAATAAGACTATAAGTATTTTTTTTTATAGGATAGGGCGTATCGAACGAGCACACAGCCCCTGATGGTAACTGGTGGTGCTGTGGCACATATGACATCTACATCTATCCTATCTCAATTCCACGGAATCAAAATGCAGATTGCGTTGTCACCCGAGGACTAATATGGAATGCCTACACGACCGTTTCCAGTAAATAAGGGTACGAACCTCCGGTTCTCTGACACGCGTTCGACCATACGAAATCGCAGCAGATTAAGCTACTATTTCACGCTGGTATTCTATGAGAGCGTGGTCCTTCCCCGGTCGAGCCGACCCATTCGTGCTATAACTATACATCTAATACAACTGCAGCCTGGCTCTACCACCTGTATGTAAATATTAAACACTATTCCTCACTTACCTCGATTACTTGCCATGTTTTATATCTTATATATAGCGTATTCGTACTTGCCCGCGGCTCTGATGCAAACTTTGGTGGTGCCAATTGTGAAGAACAAAACTGGGGACATATCTTATAAGTCCAACTATAGGCCTATCTCACTTGCCACGGTAGTTGCGAAAACGCTTAACAGTTTGCTTAACTCCCAGCTTGATAAATATATATGCCTACACGACGATCAGTTTATATTGTGTTTGAAGCAAACTATGAGAGTAAACATGATCGCTCGCAGGTTCGCTCGTTGTTCTGTCCCTGTAAGAGTAACGCTCTTTAGAGCTTACTGCACTTCCTTTTACACGAGCAGTCTGTGGATGGACTACACGCAGAAACAGTACAATGCCCTGCGTGTTCAATACAATAATGCATTCAAGGTGCCATTGGGTCTGCCTTGTTACTGTAGTGCGTCGGGTATGTTCGCGGATGCGCGTGTGGATTGTTTCTACAACACCATACGTAAACGATGCGCATCCCTGGTGCGCAGGGTGCGGGCCAGTTCCAGGTTCGATTATCAGTACCTGAACCATTGTCATATGGTGCACGTGCTGACTAATTGGGCCTGTCGTAGAAATAGTTTTAGAATTAGGTAAATAGTTTTAAGTTTACTAACATTAGATTTAAGATTTATATTATGACTAACATCTATGATCCTTGTGGTCGAAATAAACGATTTTTATTTTTTATTTTATTTATTTATAAACAACTTCTCACGTTTGATATCGCCGCGATATCGTCGCCAGCTTGCCCGCTACTTCCACCGCACCTGCGTTTTGTACGTGAACACTTGCATATAATTAATGCTATGTATTTGATATTTCATGACCGCGCCCGTCACCGCAGCCGCGAGTTAACGTGAACAAGCACTTACTCACCCCACATTTTTCAACGCGGAATCGGCTTAAACCGAGTGCTTATAACCATACTACAGCTGTTGCGACGGCTGTTCACATTCGTTCGGCAGTCGACTCATCGTTCATCATTCGACTGTTGTCCAACGCCGTTGAACCGTCTGTGTTTTCCGGCGCAGTTCGGCTGCCGTCGGAAACTTAAACACATCGTCGTGGGCGTTCGGCTACTTTCAGCACCGTACGGATGCGATCAGCCAATTGGCAAACCACTCATTATGCCATCGGTCGAAGTCGTACCTAACAACCGTATTTCGTAGACATATAGGTTTTTCTGACCGGCTGAAGCCGATTCCGCGTTGATAGATATGGGGACTCCCTTAGTATGCACACTGTGTACCTGCAGACTGTCCTTGCTCTCGTGGCTGAGGTAGGTGGACACGGTGTCCACGCTGTGCCGCCGTCCCGACCGCGTACTACCGCACTCGTCACGGGACTCCTCCGCACTAGAGTCAGTTGTAGCGGGTTTGTTGTTATTACCTATAAGAAAAATTCAAAAAGTCCTTTTTTATAGAATAAAGGTGACAAGCGAACACACAGTCCACCTTACGATAAGTGGCACCTCACGATTACGAAACAAAATGCAGATGCGTTCTCGTCACTCGCGAGGATTGGAATTTGAAAAAAGGGGTCTCCGGTTCACTCACCATATGAAACACAGCAGCCTTAAGCTGCTATTTTGTGGTATTCTGTGAGTAGCGTGGTCCTTCCCCGGTCGAGTCGACCCTTTCGTGCTACAACTATGCTACTAATATAGGTGCAGCATTGCTCTACCGCGTGAAATATCTCCACGGTCCGAGAGTATGTTTGCGGCTCCCGCTGCAATGGCGGGCAACTACTATAATCGCGATTCCCACACACTGCAGTCGTCAAACATGGAAAACATGAGCACTAGGCATCTATCCCAAATATTGAGTCTAGTGCCCGCCCAACTTACAATTATCTCCCGCCAAAGACATTTAAGTAAGTAGTAATAATAGACCAGACATCAGCAGCAAAATTGTCGTCTGTAACTTTTATCCTATCTCCGATTTTTGTCATTTAGTACCTATGTACGCCTTTGGGATCGGATAGTGTGTTTTACATATTGTAGTGAAATCTAACTTACTGAATATGTTGAGGTTATGTAATATCTGTCGTGCGAGGCCTGGTTTTCTATCACGAGGCGAGATACTACGAGCTCCATTCCTCACTTCGCGTGTGTTCGCTTGCGGTGGCGGGGACAAAGGCGGACGCATCGACTGAACGACTGGCGCCGATTGTACTGAATTTATTGTATGCACAGAGTGAACTGAAGGCACTGAGTTTAATGATTGCACTGATTGAACTGAAGGCACTGAGTTTAATGATTGCACTGATTGAACTGAAGGCACTGAGTTTAATGATTGCACTGAATGAACTGAAGGCACTGAGTTTAATGATTGCACTGAATGAACTGAAGGCACTGAGTTTACAGACTGCACTGAATGATTAGACTGCACAGATTGAACTGATTGTACGCTTGATCCGGTATGTTGTTGTGGTATAGGTTGTCTGCGAGCTGAAATATAGAAAGAGATAGAAATCAGAATATAGAAATAGATTACAAATTCGTTATTTTATCTATTAACATATAAATAAAATTAAAGTGCCTATCTGTAATATTGATCCTGAGCTGAGGGGGGTTATTTGTATGACATTAAGTCATTTTTAAAAATTTTCTTTGTCTGTCTATCTGTCGGACGCCGGAGTAACCTGGAGCCATGGTAGTTCAGGCTCAGCGCTAACTATGATTTTCACAGTATGCAACCCGGGTTCAACTCCCTTCGGCACTAATGAAATTATTAATTGAAATTTTTAGTGTAGATTTACAATGTGCTCGGCGGTGAAGGAAAACAACGTGACGAAGCCTGCATGACTGAGAACAAAATATACTTGAAAACATGTCCGCCTACACGCAGAGGGGCAGCGCAGTGGACACTTCTATCTTGTTAATAATATCTTATCGAAATGTCCTTAACATGCAAAGTTACGCCTTGCATGGAGCCTTATTCACCTTAGCAATATTTTTTTATAAATTTTAAGGCTCCGTAGGTAATTATGCTTCTATTGGCATGAAAAAAATATTTTTTCAATACAAGTAGGGCGAGAAACTAGCACACAGTCTGATTATAAGTGTACGCTGCGTCAGATTTTAAAAAAATATTGATGTTCGACAAAAATGGTTGAAAATAATAAAAAGAAATGATTGGGTTGCAACAAAAATTATTTGACTATATGCAGCAAGTAATTTGAAGAAAATTGTTTCTCTCATAGAGGTGTCCCGTGGGTGTCGTAAGAGGCGACAGAGGAAAAAAAATCAGATGGGCAGCAGCAGCTTCCTAAAAACGACTAAAATTTAAAAAACTGCGGTGTCCAACCTGCTTGCCAAGCGTGGCAACTATAGCAAATATCCTATGATGCAATATATTTCTTTAAAACTCTTTCAGAAGTGAAAAGAGGCCTGCGCCCAGCAGTAGGATATTTAACTTTAACTGTCTATACTGGCTAATCTTCACAATAGCTGAACCAGAACTTCACGAACAAAAGAACACTGTCACGAGTGATCCAGGTTATATTTTAACTTGGGACATTTTAAAAAAAATATAAAATAAATAGTTTTGGTTGTCTTAAATCTAAACAAGGCCAAATTAACAGATCCCATCCAGGTAAATCTGCGGCGGGTCACTAGTTATTAAAAATATAAATTGACAAACGAACCAACAGTCCACCAGATAGTAAGTGGCTGTGCAGACTATGAACACCTGCAACCAACTCCAAACAAAGGATAAAGATGTATCGTGAACACTGGGAACTAAGATGGAATATCCAACAGCTTGTAACTATACTGGCTTTCTATACTCTTCAGACTGGAATACAGCAGTGTATGCATTGCTGCTAGTTTTTTTTTTATATATAGAATAAGGTTAACAAACGAGCACACAGTAAACTGATAGTAAGTGGATGATGTGGCTCATAGACACCTACATTTATCTTCGATTAAGAACCAAAATGCGGATGCGTTGTCACACCTGAGAACTAAGACGAAATGTCTCGTTTCTAGTAAAAAAGGGTATCCGGATCTCAACACTCATCGTAGGAAACACTACAGCATTAAGCTATTATTTTACGCTGATATTCTATGAGAGCTTGGTCCTTCTCCGTTCGAGCTGATCCATTGATGTTACAAACATAATATAGCCAAAGCATGGCTTTACCACGTATAGTGATATAAGTTTATATAAAAAGAGGTTACTATAATATTAAGGAATTTATGAATGATAAAGGATTTTTTCTTCACAATATGCTCATGCGCCAAATTACCACGTTTTTGGGAAATTTTTATGACAGCTCAACCCAGCGAACAATCGATAACGATAATGATGACGAAGTGACGATCAAAATAACTTGAAGTTGATATCAACATAGATGCACTTGTTTCGTTCTCTAATAGTTCACATGCGCAGACATAACACAAAATTGCTTCACTTTTACGTATCAAAATCCACTTCAAACCATTATTTAAATGATAAAACAGGAGCAACAATCCGTCGACGGTCAAGTTCCTACCAAAACTTTGTTTTTTAAGAGTTTGTATAACCATAACAGTGTGAGACAGAATGCTTACCGTGAGGGGTGAGCGGGTACGGAGGCTGTGAGACGCGACGCAACAGCCGCAACGCGGCCGTAGCGCACGAGCTGTTTGTTCTCGCAGTCATCCGAGACAGCGAAGCCACCCAGCCGTCGAACGATACCGTCTCTACACCACTCGACCAAGCCTCTTCTAACAGGCACTGTATCTGTTCGAAGCATTCAAAGCAACATGTTGTTTCACATATAAAATTATAGTGAAGTGTACTAAACTTTATATCAAATCATCATCATCATCATCACAGCCCTTCACAAGTCCACTGCTGAACATAGGGTCTCCCCCTATCTTCCACTTGCTTTCAACCACTTGCTACCCACTCAAGAACCTTTCTTCCCAACCGATTGTCAGTTCTTTGAGCTACAGCCAGCCCATTGCCACTTGAGCTTACTAATCCATTGGGCTTTGTCGGTTACTTTGGAACTGCCGATATCCTCATTTTTTTTGAAGGAATTTATGAATGATAACCCCTGGGAAGGGTGATCGCTACCAAGCTATCTCTAATTTGTCTTATGTTGTTAACTGTAAACATAAACTGTAAGCTATTATTTGAAGAAAAAAAAGTAGTCCCGCTGGGTTTCTTGCTGGTTCTTTCCAGGACAGAGGTTTTTTTACGAACCAGTGGTAAATGAAAAAAGTGACTCAATAAGTATTGTTTATAATCTTCATTGAATATTCTGTTTCTGCTTGCTAAACGGCCTTGAGCTTCTTCATACGGCCAGCAGTGAAGGACCATATCTCAGATCCATAAGTCATCTCAGGCAACACGCACTAGTTGTACAATCTTGTTTTCAAGTTATTTTTTCAGGTATACCTGACGAGAAGAAAGCTACCCAGCAAGTTTAATTCGTCGATTGACCTTTCGGTTGAAGTTGGGCTTACCTGGTCAGACTATTTGTCCTAGATAAACATACTCGCCGGCACCATCGAGCATAGTGCTCCCAACAAGTACCGGCATATGTGTGACATTTGCATAGTTGAATGTAAAAGAAACGGAAGGTATGTGTCAAGATTGTCTCAATGTGAAAAATGTGTCAAGATAGGTTCGAATCCCGGGTCGGGCCAAAAAAAATCAGTTATTGAGTTTTTCTGTCCAGAATTCTCAGTAGTTGCCCGGAGTCAGGAAGTTGTCGGTGTCTCACCCCCGTGCCTCGGAAAGCACGTAAAGCCGTTGGTCCTGCGCCTGATCTCTCCCCGGTCGTGTCGGTTTACCGTCCTATCGGATTATGAGAGTGAGGGAATAGAGAGTGAACCTGTGGTTGCGCATACACTGAACACCCTAACGGAGGAACTGTCGGTTTCAGTCCAGGCCTTCAGAGGCGAAGCCTGGGATCGGCGCATCCAGAAGGCGGAAGAGAGAGATGTGTCGCTTTATAGACTGAACCGACAGTTGACCAAATCCAGACCTCCCGTTTGCCCGCTGACTGATAATACGGGCAAACGATGCTACGATGCCAAGGGCAGAGCGGATATCCTAGTCGAGCACTTCGAAGAGCAATTTATGCCGAACACAGCAAGTGCGGAGTTCATGGAGCTTCATGCCCGGAAGGAAAGTCGCGTACAGGAGTTCCTGTCGTCGCCCGCGCCACCTCTTGCAGGAGATTGGTTCATCTCCCCCGCAGAACTGCGGAGGACAGTAACCTGCCTGCAACCGAGGAAGGCGCCGGGGCACGACGGGATTACCAACGCTGCACTCCGACAGTTGCCCAATAGAGTCATAGTAGAGCTTGGTCGACTCTACAATGGGATATTGCGGACATCCCACTTCCCGGAGGACTGGAAGAAAGGCAAAATCATCGTCTTGCCGAAACCCGGGAAGGACAGGCGTAGAGCTGCCAACTACAGGCCGATCACGCTATTACCACATATAGCTAAACTGTTTGAAAGATTGCTGCTAAGACGTCTCCGTCCGTGCATCCAACTTCGGGCGGAGCAGCACGGATTCAGGAGGGGTCACTCCACAGTCACACAACTGACTAGAGTGCTGCACCTGCTTGCGGCAGAGTACAATCGTGGCCGCATATCGTTGGGCGTCTTTCTCGATATCGAGAAGGCGTTCGACCGGGTGTGGCACGCAGGATTATTATATAAACTGGAACAACAGACCAGTGTCCCTCCTGCTATATTGCGGCTAATAGCGTCTTTCCTGGAAGACAGGAAGTTCTACGTCTGCGTAGAGGACGCCGAATCCGCAACAAGATCCATCAAAGCCGGCGTCCCACAGGGCAGCTGTTTGTCTCCAGTCCTGTACGCGGCTTACACTAACGATATACCTACACTGGCAGGCAGGCTTCAAGAGTGGGAGGACGACGTCGAGCTGGCGCTATTCGCGGACGATAGCGCCTATTTCACCTCGTCCAGAAGAGCCCACATAGCCACTGCCAAGATGCAGCGTCTGCTGGACCTGCTGCCACCATGGCTGGACGAGTGGAGGATGGTCGTCAACGTTGGTAAGACGACCGCTCTGCTCACTCGCCGTCTCAGGAATTTACCACCTCCGCTGACCCTCAATGGCCAGGAGATTGCGTACCAGAAGGCTGTAACTTACCTTGGGTGTAGGATCGACAGGACGCTGCGCATGACCGCGCACGTCGACTTCGTCGTCCGCCGGGCCCGATGTGCGCGGGCGACGCTCTTGCCGGTCCTGGCATCCAAGCTGCCTATAAGAACCAAGCTCCGGATATACAAGATGTATATCCGGACTATTATCACCTACGCTGCACCGGCCTGGTACGCACTTCTGAGCGACCCTCTGAGGCGGCGACTACAGGCCCAGCAGAATCTGACATTAAGGACGATCGTCGGAGCAGGTCGCTACGTCCGGAACGACGTGATAGCGGCGGATTTGAAGATCGAGAACATCATCGACTTCGTGGCCCGGTTAGCACGCGGCATGTTTGACCGTGCCGATAACGGGCCACATGAACATCTCAACGGCTTTGCGCCGTTGCATACCCGGCCACCGGACGGGCGACCTCTTCCAAGAGAACTCCTCTCTATATGTGATTAGAGAGTTGAGTAACAACCCGCAATGCCGCAGAAAGGCCAACCCAGACTCAACCAGATAACCACCTTTTTCCGTAGTTGGTTAACTACGGAAACAATACAACACCTAATACGGAACAAACCCGGTATGCTATTTAGCCTAGAATAGGCAACAAGGACTGTCCCATAATGATGGGACATGAGGACACCCGGGCAATGGTGGTCACCCCGAGGCCCGATACCTGCACGTACGTCAGTGCGTGAAGACGACAATCAACGCGCATACACTTGAGCACTATAATCCAGTACTGCGCCGATGGCTAGTCTCCGTTGAGGCAGGCCGCCGTGACCAAAATTCGGTCTGGAGGACATTGTTATTATTATGTATTTATTTATGCGTGTGTGGTGTACCTGCATGGGCAGCGTGTCGTACTGCAGACGCGCGGGCGAGGGGCGCGCGGTCGCTGGCACCCAGGCCCACTCCCAGCGCGCGCCGCGCCCGCCCGGCGACTGCACGCTGTAACAAGCGCGCCGCACCGCGCACTGCGCCCCACCAACACCACACCCCTCGCCTCCGTCACGTCCTCCATCTACACAAGCACATCATTTTATGCCGGTTATATCCTCTCAACTGTCCCGGCCCAAATGGTCGCTTTGGCGCATACTGTCCAACCATAAACGAGTGATTTATTGCCTACGTGGCGCGAGCCATTAAAATGGCAATATCTTAATAATTATGAATGGAAACCCTATAAAATAATACGTTGTTAGAATTATTGTTAAGTAAGCTAATAGAATATGTGTAAATGTGTACATTCACCTTTTTTATATTTTCTAAATTCCATGGAAAAAATGCTAAAAGCGATTTTTTTCCGGTTTGGTGAATAAAAATTGTAAAAAAGAAACAATTACTTCAATAAATATTTATTTTATCTACAATAAGATAAATACACTTTACAATAATTAATAAAAAAAACACAACTCTGCGTACATTTTTTCACCACAAGCTCGACAATAATGTGGGCCACTTAAGATGACCCGAAACAGGCACAAAAAAGCCACATTATGTACTTCAATAGCGACAATTCCGTACCGAGATAATTAGGTTAATGATATTAAAACAATGTTGTACGAGTTAAAGGGATCTCACAGATACATTTACTACGGCTGTTTCGTGTCTGAAGTTTATAAGTAAATTGCAACCCTCTAAAGGTTGTGGACAGACGCGTACTTTTTTAATAGCGACCTTCAGAAGGTTTTGGGCAGCCGGGAGGATATAGACATGTGTCAATCATTCATTTCTCGTGATCGAAACATTCTAGTACATTTCGTCACGCGTATCGATCGACATTTTATTAAATGGATAATTTCGGGCTCCAGTGCCCTACACTAAAAACAATTCATTCGATAATTCGGGATTCGATCGGTTTTTGACGCATTCATAATTCACACCAATCAAGAGTTAAAAAGGTTCCGTCAATTGTTTGTGATTGGTTGTACCGGATCATTCAAAAGCAGATGAATGAACCATCAACACTTTTAAGTGTACCAGCTCAAACTAACGAATCACTCATGAGTGACACATGTCTACGGCTGTACATGTCGGCCGAGCGAAGGCGAGTACCAACGTATAGACAGCCCATTTGTCTAGTCTCGCCATTGCTTGTCGTCGCTCGCCTAGCTGGCAGAGTGCAGGCGAGCGCAAACGTGTATACAGTTCGTTTGGCGAGCCTTGCAACCACTCAGGATCGCACGCCACGACTCGTCTCACTTTGGAACAGTGTCGGTTTTTCTACACAAATCAAAGGCGCTCAGGACTATTAGGGAGATCACTGACTCTCGTAACAGGTTTTCTAACCTAGCTCGGGAGTCAGAGGCTTAAATAATATCGTAACAAATTTTATGTCAAGATTATTATTATTATTATTATTACTAAAAAAAGGCGCTCGTCTGCACTCGGCAATTCGTTTACACGTGTTAGTTGAAACTCGACCAACATGTAGACTGTAGCACTCTATTTCTTTTATTTTTTATTTCTTGTTTATTATCTATATTGAATAAAAATGTTCTATAACTATTCTATAGTCCAGACTGAATTTAGATCATGAGGACCAGTCTCAATGGAGGTTAGCTATCTGTGCTGGAAAGGATTACAGCACACGAGTGTATGCACAACAACCACAGGTGCTATCTATTCCTAACTCTCATAGTCCGATGAGATATTAATCCGACACAACCACAACACTAACAAGAGGCAGTCAAAAACATAGTAGCTCGGTTTCTTGCTGGTTCTTCTCAGGACAAATAGTATGTACTTTCCAAACCAGCGGTAAATAAAAAAATGACTTCAAATAGACATCCAATAGATATAACCCAATAGATATTAATAACCAAACTGTAAAATCTATGGGGGAGGCCTATGTTCAACAGTGCAGTGGTAGGCTGTAGTTGTAACGATAAGTATTATTAAATAATTTATATTGAATAAAAATTATTCTCTTTTTTCTTCTATTTTTTTATAGGATAAGGTGACAAGCAAGCACACCTAATCCACCTGATGGTAAGTGATTGCTGTGACCCATAGGTATCTACATCCATTCTTGATTACAAATTAAAATGCAAATACGTTGTCACTTGTGAGGACTAAGATGGAATGGAATGCCTCGTTTCCAGCAAAAAGGGTTCACTGCACTCACCATACGAAACACAGCAGCATTAAGCTACTAATTTACGCTGCTATTCTGGAGCGTGGTCCTTCCCCGGTCGAGCTGACCCATTCTTGTTACAACTATACTACTACTATAATACCACATATAATTATACCACGTATATTCTATGACTAGTAGAATACTGACCAGTATTCCTATTTAAAAAAAATAACAGTGCTACTAACAATACTAAAATTTCCGTTTACCGCTCCATTACTGTTACCGTAACAGCCTATCAGAAGTCCACTGCTGAACATAATGCTGCCTAACACAAACATAGATTAACTCATAGAGAGGATTTGCCACAATAGGCAGGCGTGTTGTTATTAGAAACATACTGCTGCCCATCTCTTAGATTGTTTCCCACTGTCGCCTTTTACTTCACCCTAGCGATATGGAGTAGTGGATATACCACCAGTATTTATATAAGTATATAATCAACGGTTTACCACGCCAACCAAGCTAAAATGCTTGTACTAAGAGTGATTTAGGACAATAGTCGAAAAGCAGAATCGCATATATACAAAAAATATGTAAATCTGGTGAAATCATATTAGATAGAAAGGATGCTATGCATTACCCACAGGAATTCCTTAACTCCTTTTACCCTTGAGGACTTCCCCCCATATCATAAAATCGTTGGTATTCCAATAATTTTATTAAGAAACCTGACATTGCCTAATCTGTGCAATGTAACTAGACTTCAAGTAAAATGGCTATATATTAATGTAATTGAGAGTATTATTCTTACAGGACAAGCGGCAGGTCAGGCTCATATTTTTCGCATTCCCATGATCCCAACAGACTTACCTTTCCAATTTAAGCTATTACAGTTTCCAATTAATACATTTTTCGCCATCACCATTAACAAATCCCAAGGCTAAACATAAATATATGTTGGACTTGACTTAAGGGAAGATTGTTTTACTCACAGACATTTATATGTTGGTCTCTCTAGGTCAGACAATCCAGAGAATCAACTATTTATTTATTTTGATTTATTTATTGAAACTAACAACTATCACGACAGGAATAACCTAATGCAACAGTGTAGTTCTTTATATGCATAACAAAAATGTAAAAATTAACTGTAACAAATTGTAAACAATCCCACCCTAGTAAATTCGCTCAAGGAGCAATAGAATAGGTCAATGTCTTCAGCCATTCTATTAAGAATGCGTAACGTTCGCGTTAAAGGTGCTTTATCCAGTAAATTGGTACGGGCGCGCGGCACGGAGAGCAGCCGCGGCCGCCGCAGTTTCCATACGTACCTGTCTGGAACACAAAACCCAATCCGCCTCAATATGTCACTATTATATAATTTTCCTCTAAGCACTTTAAAAATATATAAGGCTAATGCGATGTCTCGTCTTGCCCTCAATTCGTTGTAGCCAACCATACCCAGAATAAATAAGGTTGGGCACATTAATGGGTACATAGGGTAGACCCCATAGTAACGCATGTATAGGTATCTAATTAATATATTTTGCACACGTTCTAGCATTGTGCTATACCTTTTTTCATGTGGCGACCATATTACGGCGTAACACTCTAGATTACTTCTTACCAGTGTATTATACAGAGTAACGATTAAATTAATGTTAGTAAAACTGTGAACTGTGCGAAGAATGAAGCCCAAGTTTCTATACGCTTTTTTGCAGCAATAGAGAATGTGTTCCCTAAACGATAATTCACTATTTAGCTGAACGCCTAGATCTTTAACTTCTTTAACTCTTACCATTGGCGAACCATTGACTTCATAGTTATATTCAATAGGCGTGCACTTTCTAATAAATGAAATTTTAACATACTTGGAGGTGTTAAACTGCAAACGATTAACGGAAAAGCAAAAAAAAAGTGGCATGGATCTATTGCTCCATGCCACTACTCTGTTTAAGCTTTTCCCAGTCTGACAATGTTTCTATGACATGATACAACTTGAGGTCATCAGCAAAAAGGCACCTAGATTCCTTAACTACTTCCGGCAAATCGTTAACCAGTAATAAAAACTGATATTAAACTAAACTAATGTTAAAGCCACAGAAAATGGAACAACAAATGTGGTATATAAATAAGTTTTAAAATAAATTATATCTACTATGCTAAATTTGAAATATACCAATATAAATAATTATTCGACCCGAGCAAAGCCGGGGCGGATTGCTAGTCTGTAATTATATTGACTATATCCATCATCCATCTTATTGAAACATTAGACATACAACATTCAGACCAAATGAACTGCTTTGTTGGTCGTCTTTACATACAGCAAGAGAGTGGAATAATTTGGTATTTCCTTCAGATAAGTGTGGGCGTTCAATGCAAGAATGAATACACTTTTGTAAAAAGTTAAATCAGTATGTTTTACCATATGTGACTATATTAGCATCAGGTGTAGTAGAAATCAAGTGCTGGCTTATAATAATTAAAGAAAAGACATATAACATTTTACTGCACACCAAAAATATAAATATCGATAAGAATAAAGATGGAGAACAAAAAAAAACATGGTATAAAGGGCAGTGTTATGGCTAATAATGTAAAGCATACCACACAGCTGGCTGTGTGGTACGCAATGAGCATTTTCACCACCTCCCTCCCCCGTTACTGGAGGGTTGCTCTTATTTGCTTCATGGCGAGCGATCCAAAGTGGGGGCAAGGCTCACCAAACAAACTGTATACATGTTTGCGCTCTTATTTGCTTTAGGCGCAAAAAAAAACTAAGTGTTTGTTTTCTAAAAAGTAGTGGCTAAAAGTGTTTTTTTTTTCTAAAAACCGTTGACAAAAATAGTATCAAGGATGAGAGATGTCTCATATTCTAATTAGGACAAATGCTGTCATTTAAGGTAATCAGTGAAAGAAATATTGTAAGGCACCTACGCCGTGCACATGCAATGAATAAATATGTTCATTAAACTTTCTAAGTAACACAGTTTTGACAATTAACTTTTATTGTTAATGACTATTGTGTTTTGTTCATTCAAAAACTAATTAACTCAAAATTTTTGGCATTTCTCTAGACATCTGAGTTATCGAGATTCTACTGTATATTATTTTTTACATATTTCTGTATTATATTAACCTCTTAATCCCCTAGCGGGCTCATGAGCCCACAGCCATATTCTGTCAAATCCCTAGCGGTCTCATGAGACCGAACCCACCCACAGCACTATAACCCATAATTACTTATATTTAGAGACTACTTTACTATGAAGAAGTTTGGCATAAGAGGCTCAATGTGAAATTTCATATCCTCTAATGCAATAAAAAGTGGTTAGTCTATGTTTTTTCATTTATAATCTACGTTCATTTCATAGCCTATTTCATGTTATTGTGTTGATTTTAGGATTTTTTTAATGTTTTATAAGTGTTTAGTATAGTGTTTAATTATAAAATTGTTATAAAAGTTTTTGTGTGAATATAATTTATCTTTTTATGTTAATAATTATGGAGTAATATATAAAAATAATTGTGATATTCACGCTGCTGTCCTGCGCTATATATGATCATTTTTTAGTACAAAAATACAATTAAAAATTATTTTTAATGAAGTTAAAACACTAAAACAAGTAATATAACATAATAATTAAAAAGAAATGAGTATTATATTGAAATTTATAATGAACCTTATTGAAAATAAATTAATTCAAGGTTAGGTTATTTTTAGCAATGCACATCATGGAAGCAAGCAAAGGGTGTCAATTATTTTAGCTGGCAACTGAGAGGTTAATATAAAACTATATGATTAATATTTTTTTAGCAATAGATTTTAATTTTACTTAATATGATCTTTTAATATTTTACAATATTTCATTAATATCATAAAATCTTTAAATACAAATAATTAAATAAGCGTATAGAATAAAATATTAAGTACATTTAATTAAAACTAGACAATTTACAGTAAAATAATTACACTCAGACTAACCTGCTCCATCTGAGCACTGGGTAAGTGTTAAAAGGTTAACATAGTGGCCTTTGAGTGCAGGATCAGCATCTGCAAGCACTACTCGTGTGAGTTTCTTAGCATGCGCTCGTTCTAAAGTGCGAGCCACTCCTGGAGAGTGTGGCAGCCATTGTCCGTTGCATTGCCATTCCCATACCACCACACAATGAACCGACGACATTACACCATATCCTACAACATATTTTTACAAAGTTAACCATTATAATTTTATAGTGGTTATACTACCACCCATCGAAAGCCATAAGATTTTTCTGGCATGTCCCATAGTCACCCCTTACTGACACCCACAGAATTAAATGGGATAATGGGTTCTCTTTGCCTGCAAACACATAGCAAGAACAAAGATGCAAAACTTCTGGCACTGCAATTGTCTTCCATCTTCCAAACATGTTGAAAGCTAAATCTTCTCTACACGGATTTTACCATTATAATTATGACAAAACAAAAAGATAAATAACAACTCACCAGTTTCATCTTAATCACATAAGTCATTCATTAATTTTTATGTATTATATTAGATGGGTGTTCCGACAATTTGAAAAACAATAATATTAAGTACACTAAATATAAATATTGACTTTAAATGCCCCATATTTCGAGTACTTTAAGGACCACAAGACAGAGCTTTGTCCATGTATATCTCAAAGTTATAACTCATTCGCTATACCTAATAATTACGTTCCAAAAAAAATGTTGACCTATCATTTTGTATGAAACAAACGTAGACAGAGAAACCTAGGTTTCACGGAACCATGTTCCCACGGAAACAAGGGTCAGAATTTATATTTGAAACTACGCTGATGTGTGACACTCCTTACTCAATTACTTACATAAAGTAGTAACCAGTTCGTACTAGTTCTCACGGAGATAAAAAAGTATTTATCATTAAGAAGAATTTTTTATTATTATAATTAAATTTATTTAACGTATTATATTATATATTTCAGGATATTATTAATTAGCAGTTCCTTGTTTAAACTTTTTAATGCTTTGAGTTTGATGTTTATGTTATGACACGATTTTTTTATTTAACTGGCTTTACAGCTCTGGGTTCTAGAACCGTGGTAGCTCAGATGGTTAGCATAAACATAAAAACTCACGCCTGTCACCCAGAGGGGTAGGCAGAGACTACGGACTTCCATTTGGCACGATCCTGACATACCTCTTTCGCCTCCTTTACATCCATATATCTACGCATACATGCTCGTCGGTTAAGGGTACTTCTAACGTGGCCCATTTTCAAAATATCGCCAATTTGGTCGATAAACTTTTTCCTAGGGCGTCCCTTCCCGACTCGGCCATTCACATCTGCCATATAAATTTGCTTTGTCACTCTTTCCTCATTCATTCTTTCTACGTGACCAAACCACCGAAGCATTCCTTTCTTAATCCTGGTCACAACATCATCTTGCATACCACATTTATCTCTTATCACGCAATTTCTCACCCTGTCATTCATATTACATCCTAGCATATTCCTTAAAGACCGCATTTCTACAGCATTTATTCTACTTTCGTGCTTCTTCTGCCACACCCAGCTTTCACTACCATACATTAAAGTAGGGACTAACACAGCATTATGAATTATCATACGTGCCTGTTTTGACAAATTCTGGTTCTTCATAATAGAGTGTAGTGCCCCATTCACTCTATTCCCTGCATTTACTCGTCGTTCTATATCCCTATCATATCTACCATCCCTGCTAAATACACATCCCAAATACACAAACTCATCCACTTGCTCAATCAACTCTCCTTCTATTCTTATTTCACATACCGTTTTGCTTTCTTCTCTTTCAAAAACCATCACTTTCGTCTTACTTGCGTTCACTTTCATTCCCCTTTCTTTTAATTCCCAGTTCATTAATGTAACCATCATTTGCAACTCTGCCGCCGATGACGCAAGTATGACTTGATCATCGGCATACAAAAGGCATTTGACGGTTAACTCGCCCATTCTTAACCCACATTCTTCATCTTTCAAAGTTTGCAAACACCGGTCCATAAATAGGTTGAACAGCCAAGGGGAAGCCACACAGCCCTGTCTGACACCTTTTTGGATGCCAAACCAGTCCGAGTAGACCCCATTGATCCTGACACAAGCACTAGAGTTCCTATAAAGAGACCTTAATGCCTGTATCAAACTAGCGCTCAACCCATATGAGTTCAGTGTTTGCCACAACACATTCCTGTCCACTCTGTCATAAGCCTTTTCCAAGTCCATGAACGCACAAAAAACTTTCTGGTTTTTGGCCAAAAACTTCTCCGCAATCATGCGCATGGAAAAGACTTGATCTGTACACCCCATTCCCTTTCTAAAACCCGCTTGCACATCCCAAATTTTTCCATCAGTTTCTTTCATAACTCTTTCAATTAACACCTTAGCATACAGTTTACCCACAATACTAAGCAAGCTGATACCGCGGTAGTTTTTGCAGTCCTGCTGTGACCCTTTTCCTTTATATATTGGTACTATAACTGCTTTACACCAGTCATCCGGTACCCGTTTTAATTCCCAACATAAATTAAACAAGGTGTACAGCAGGCCTGCCACCACTCCCTCTCCAGCCCTTAGCATCTCGAGTGATACTCTATCATATCCAGCTGCCTTACCTGCTTTCATGCTTTTTCAGATGGTTAGCGCTCGCTGTAAATATAACAGAACGCGAGCAACCCGGGTTCGATCCCCGCCGGCACCAATGCAATTGTTAATTGCAATTTTAAGTGCTGATATACCACATATTTGGCGGTGAAGGAAAACATCGTGAGGAAAGCTGCATGTCTGAGGAATAAGAAAAAAAATATTTCGAAGACATATGAAGTTCACCAACACGCATTGGGGCAGCGCGGCGGACACTTCCTTGCCCTAAAACCCTCTCAGAAATGGGGGGAGGCCTGTGCCCAGCAGTGGGACGTATATAGGCTGTAACTTTACTTTACAGCTCTGGGTTCTAGCCCTTCTGGGCCTATCCTTTCTTTCGGAATCTTCATTTTTAATATATTTTTTCTTCACAATATGCCGATGCATCACTTTTACGAATCTTTTGGAAGATTTTGACGATAGCTCAACCCAGCGGGTAGTTGATGACGTCAGTCACTCAAGTTTATAAGGTCTAAGGTGCCCAAGCGACCAAAATAATTTGAGGTCTATATCAACATCGAAACACCTGTTTAACCATTTTCTTTAAAAGCTTACACGCGCAGACACTTAATTCACAAAATCGCATCACTTTTACGAATCAAAATCCACTTCGAACCATTATTTAGGCGATAAAACAAGAGCGATAATCCGTCGACGGCCGAGATCCCTTTCCCCCGCCCGCCAAAACCGCCGCGCCAAAACTCTTATGACGCGAACACGAACATGATCACAGATGACTAGAAAGCTTAATAGCGCCTCTACACGTTGAGCCAACGCGATGGCCCACTATGATGGGCCAGCGTGTGGAGAGCGTAATAGCGTCAGATGGCTTATGGCGCATGCGATGGTCTTGGGGATGGCGACGGTGTCGGTTTTTACACCGCACATCAAAGGCAGTGGGTCAGCGATGGTTATAACTCTATTCTAGTGCACATTAAAAAAGACAATAAAAAATGACATGTTAAATAAATATATTGCCGCAGCGGCTAATTCTTCCACTTTCATCTCGACTTCAAACTTCGATCACAACTAAATGTCGCCATCGTGTAGATGCGTTTCAACCATCGCATGGCCATCTCGCTGGGCCAGCGTTGGCCCATCGTGTAGAGGAGCTATAACCTCTCTAGTATATATACCATAGATCTAGTATAAACTCCATAGATTGGGCTTAGGAGTAAAAGAGAGCTATCGCACCTTACTGTACTTTTGTGTGTTAGAAAGAGAAATCGAGTGAAATTGTCAGTGAGACTAAACACATATTAGGTACCGGTACATAACAGCCCAGTAAACTTTGCGCGAATACATTTTAGCAATTTCATGAGTAAACTTAAGTGATAACTAGTTACTGTATGTGTATAATACGATAGATTTTTGTTCTGTACCAGGATGTAACTCTTCCAAAAAGTATAATCCCCAGGATTACCCATTCCACCAGTAAGTTATTAACCTGATATCTATCGTTTTTTCTTAATAGTGGTTCACAAATATGCCAGCTTTAGAGATTTTTTTTTAAATTTAGTATTGAGATGAACCAACACCCAAAAATCAGCCATATTTGGCAAATAATAGTGAAATATGACGACATTAATAACCTCAGTTATTAGTGATACGCTCGATTTATTTTTGATGTCGATTTAATTCAAACAAAGTGAAGGATACCTAGTAAATTGTATTTGCGCAGTAAATAGTTAACTTTATTGATAATATTAGTATAAAATGTAAACGTAATAGAGCTATTATTTACTATAAAGTTTGTCTCACACTCTGTTTCTGAGGTCCTTAGATAAACAAACTCATAATGTTATTGATCCAATAAGAATATCTAGTTATACATCCCAGTATTCACGGAACTGCACCGGAGACCATAACAATTCAAGCGTAAGCGTGGGCGTAGATTGCTGAATTGCATCTGGAAGACGGGTGGTCTTTCCTGTGAATACTGATAACTGTTCTTTAGCTTAAAGATTTAGAATAAGAATTAGGATAGTCTTAGTTTGGCTCGCACATGTAGCCTTAGGTTAGAATCCATCGCGGATTAATTAAGTAGTATATACGTAATGTATCGCACATTAATAATTATAAGTTTATTAATAAAGTCTTTTTTAAAACGTCCTGAGTCAATTTCGAATCTTGAATATCTATTTAAGTGAATTTCTATTTAAAATGAGTGTTAACAAACATTTCGAGTGTTTGTAAACACTCATGTTTTTGGTTGCGAATGTTAAATGGAGAAAGTTATACTCCGCATAAATCTATGATATGTAGCATTCACTTTTATCACTGCTGCTTTTCTGGTCAAAAAAGAAAAAAGTTAAAAGTGGTCCTATTCCTACTATGTGCTAATGTACCAGCATAGGTAAGAACATAAATAATATTCTATATGGGGTAGGTAAGAAAAATCAACAGCCTCTTTATATCGTTCAGATTACTTAATTGTTACACTTGTCAAATTAAACAATAACCATACTGTGTTCATGTAGAATTTTCAATTTTATGAAAACTAATTTGATGTATCTAAGGCACTACTCAGAATATGATAATTGAAATCATCTGATATTCCTCTATGAACACTAATAAAATAAATAACGAAAGCTATAACATATTTTGCTGAAAATAGGTGTTCCATAATATATAGTTCATTTTTGTATTACATTCATAATAATAAAATGATTTTATTAATATTTTACTACAAACGTTAAGAATTGTCTAGATAAAATAATAGTATGGAGGTTGAATTAATCTTCTATATTATTTATTGTTAAATTACATTATATGTAAGATTGCTCTTGCATCACATAAGTCACATAAGCTATGTGAAATAAGTCTACCTTGTCTATTTAATTTGTTTGAATTCCAGGTTGAATTACATCTTTCACCTAGACCATCTACATATCAGTGGTATTGGAGTGACACCAAGAAAGAGGAAAATGTTAAAAATAATATTCAAATTAAAGAGAAAAATAGATAAGAAAAAAGTTAAAAAGATATACATGCCCAAAAAAGTATAGAATCTATAATAATGCAACATATATTTTATATTCCTATAATACAAATTTTCTGCCACATCAAAATATATTATCATTAAGTGACTTTCTTCGCCATGTACATAAGAAAATAATAATAATATTGATTTGCAATTTAATTAAAACTTTGTAAAAGTTTTGAAAAACAAACTTATGTGTAGAGATTGTATTGCAGTTTTACATTCTCAGCATAATGATGTAAAATCTTTAATGTATTATTTTTAATCGTTAATATACTATTTTCTCCCATCTCTGGATGATCAGGATTCGATAAACAAACAATAGTACTTATAAGTAAAATTGGCAATTAAGAAGTTTTTTTGTACAAAAGAACAAATTGCAAAATGTAAATAAAGACGACATTCTTGAATAAAACTAAATTTACGGATTTTATCGCGTTTATTTCACTACTTTTACTTATTTTTAATTCCCGACGTTTCGGTGCTTTACAGCAACCATGGTCACGGGGGGGACTGAGATGTTTGACGTCCCAATGTCATAGTTAGTCCGGCTACCTTCAGTTTTTGAATATTAATTTTTGGTCCGATTTACGCAAAACGAGCTTATAGTATCATGAAGTCTTGCAGTGGTATGCTTAGGTTTGGGTTTAATTTTGTTAATTATAGGATCCCAAGCAGGTGGCAGCACCCATCCATCTTCTCTATTGAAATTTGGATGTTTTTTAATTTCAATAGCCTCGCGTATCATCCTTGGTAGGAATCGGTGTTCTTTTGCGAGAATTTGTGGTTTATCAAAACGAATGTAATAGTGGGGACGATCTTGAACATGTTCGCAGACTGCAGACTTCCCGGAGCGTCGGTGCTTCACGTCAGCTCTATGTTCTTTCACGCGGGTTTTTATGGATCTTTTTGTTTGACCTATGTAAGAGAGACCACATTCACAATCTAACTTGTACACTCCTGCATGTTGTAGAGGGATATTACACTTGACGGATGGTAAAAATTGACTAATCTTCTTCGGCGGCTTGTAGTATGTTTTAATAGAAGCTCGCTTCAAGATGTAGCCAACCTTGTCTGTGACTCCTCTGACATATGGTAGTACAGTGTGGTATGAATCCTTTGTGAACCATTTTGTTAGTGAGATAAAAGACCTACATCTCGCTGACAATGAAACTATGGTCAGTTTTGATGTTCAGTCACTATTCACAGGCCTACCTATTGAAGACTGCATATCAATTGTAACTAGGAAGCTAGAATATAATAACATGCCTGCTGAATATGCAGTACTACTCAAACACTGCCTCACATCTGGCTATCTATTGTGGAAGGAAGAGTTCTACAAGAAAGTAGATGGTGTGGCGATGGGCTCACCTGTATCTCCCATAGTCGCTGACATATTCATGGAGGACTTCGAGGAGAAAGCCCTTCTTACTGCTCCTGTAAATCCAAGATTCTACAAGCGGTACGTAGACGACACTGTCACAATTTTACCATCTGACAAAGTAACTGCATTTTTAAACCACCTTAACTCTATAAACTCTAAAATACAATGGAGTTAGAGGCAAATAATTCTTTAGCTTTCTTAGATGTTTTAGTCATTCGAAATCCTAATAACACAATTGGTCACACTGTGTATAGAAAAAAGACCCATACCAACCGATATTTAAATGGTGAATCTCACCATCATCCTTCACAGTTAGCTACCGTGGGTAAATCTTTGTTTCAGAGAGCACGAGGGATCTGTGACAGAAAACATCTGGCCGCAGAACTTCAGCACGTCAAGCAAGTATTGCAAGACAACAAGCTTCGGGTCCCGCGCCTACGTCACAGTGACCGAGTGAAGCCGGCCACAGTCGAGCGTGTACCTGCTGTACTACCATATGTCAGAGGAGTCACAGACAAGGTTGGCTACATCTTGAAGCGAGCTTATATTAAAACATACTACAAGCCGCCGAAGAAGATTAGTCAATTTTTACCATCCTTCAAGTGTAATATCCCTCTACAAGATGCAGGAGTGTACAAGTTAGATTGTGAATGTGGTCTCTCTTACATAGGTCAAACAAAAAGATCCATAAAAACCCGCGTGAAAGAACATATAGCTGACGTGAAGCACCGACGCTCCGGGAAGTCTGCAGTCTGCGAACATGTTCAAGATCGTCCCCACCATTACATTCGTTTTGATAAACCACAAATTCTCGCAAAAGAACACCGATTCCTACCAAGGATGATAGGCGAGGCTATTGAAATTAAAAAACATCCAAATTTCAATAGAGAAGATGGATGGGTGCTGCCACCTGCTTGGGATCCTATAATTAACAAAATTAAACCCAAACCTAAGCATACCACTGCAAGACTTCATGATACTATAAGCTCGTTTTGCGTAAATCGGACTAAAAATTAATATTCAAAAACTGAAGGTAGCCGGACTAACTATGACATTGGGACGTCAAACATCTCAGTCCCCCCCGTGACCATGGTTGCTGTAAAGCACCCGAAACGTCGGGAATTAAAAATAAGTAAAAGTAGTGAAATAAACGCGATAAAATCCGTAAATTTAGTTTTATTCAATGTTTAGTGTTCGCGTAAATTTAAGAAATCATTAAGACGACATTCGATAATTTTATAATAACATTATTTTTATTAATTATTTTTAATGGTACTTGAATAAACATTTTTGTATGTCTGTATTGTATTTAAACTTTTTTCCCGTAGATGTTACCATAATTGTCAGTTGATAACTTTAGGAATATAAATATAATTGTTGCCAACTTTAGTTACAGTCAGGAGACTGAGTACAGTAACGTCAGTGTGGTAGAGCCATGCTGCAGCTATCTATATGATTTTTTTAGCACGAATGGATTGGCTCAATTGGTTGGATAGGTTTCGTATGGTGATTGTAAAGGACCGGAGATCCTTTTTACCGGAAATAAGGCATTCCATCTTAGTCTTCAGGGGTGATAATGTATCTGCATTTGATGCTTAATAAGTGATAAATGAAGATGTTTATGAGCCATAGCATCCTCTTACCATCAGGTGGACGACTGTGTGCTCGTTTGCCAACCTAGTTTTATTAAATAAATAAAAAACACTCGTATATCGACCCAAACATGTGAGGCCTTGAAATAATACTAATTTTTACGGAATTTATCGCATATATTTAACTTTTTTACCCGACGTTTCGAGAGCTTTACAGCACCCATGGTCACGGGAAGGACTGAGATGTTCAACGTCCAGCTGTCATAGTTAACCGCGGTTACCATAGATTAAAATTTAACTTTTGTTCCGATCTACACAGTATGAACTTATGGTATCATGAAGTCTTGCAGTTGTATGCTTGGGTTGGGATTTAATTTTATTTATTATAGGATCCCAAGCAGATGGTAGCACCCAGCCATCTTCTCTATTGAAATTAGGATGTTTTTTGATTTCAATAGCCTCGCGAATCATCCTTGGAAGGAATCGGTGTTCTTTAGCGAGGATTTGTGGTCTATCAAATCTGATGTAGTGACGGGGGCGATCCTGTACATGTTCACAGACTGCAGACTTCCCGGAGCGTCGATTCTTCACATCAGCTATATGTTCTTTGACGCGGGTTTTAATTGATCTTTTAGTTTGTCCTATGTAGGAGAGACCACATTCACAATCAAGCTTGTACACTCCTGCATCTTGCAGAGGGACGTTACACTTGACTGATGGTAAAAACTGACCAATCTTTTTCGGCGGCTTGAAGTATGTTTTGATGGAAGCGCGCTTCAAGATGTAGCCAATCTTGTCAGTGACTCCTCTAACATATGGCAGTACAGCATGTACACGC